CAACCTATGGAAACTAATTAAGAAGAGAAGCAATCTTGAACTAAGGAGAAATTTCCTGACAATTAGAACAATTAATGAATGGAACAACTTGCCTCCAAAAGTTGTGGGTGCTCCAACACAGGAAGTTTTTAAGAAAAAATTGGGCAGACATTTGTCTGAAATAGTATAGGGTTTCCTGCTTGAGCAGGGAGTTGGACTAGAAGACCTTGAAGGTCCTTTCCAACTCTGTTATTCTATTATTCTGAATGTCATTGTTCCAACTAACCAACTCTGTACCAATAAACTCCGAGACAATCAGTTGCTCAAAGTTCCATTTCATTAGAGTTGTCATATTGGCACATCTGGGAAACCTGAATCTGAGAGTTCTGTGTTTTCTCTTCCTAGAAGAGAATTCAAAGATCCATCTCCTTCACCCATCAGTCCATCACATGGCCCAATCAAATCTTCATCCCAACTGGAGACATTCCCCCAGACACTCCTCTCCAGGTGCAGAGCAACATGTCCTTGACTCTCTGAGAAAAGAATGTTGTTGTGTCTAATCTTCTACCTCCCTATGAAATCCCCCTCCAAAATTCCTAGGCACTGAATGTGGCAGCTTTGAAGCTTCCAAGTAAAACATAGCTTCCAAGGCTGATACTGATATAATGTGTTTTGATACTTTGCAGAAAAAAATACTAAGTTCTTTTTATTTTTTATTTTGCCAGCTTTTGTTCAGTTTGGTGAGATAAATCTTAACTTTCTTTCACAGGAAAAGAAAATTACAGTATACTCATTTTTCATTCTTTTGTAGCTTCCACAGTGTCTCAGTTAAAGATATTATGGTGGAAGTCCTTCCACTGAAGGAAATTCTTCAGCTCTCTGTGACTAAGGTAAGCACTTTAATAACTAGAACTGGTGGGAAAATATTTTTGAATTTTCATCCAGTGTTCTCATTCTACATTTTCATGATGGACATAGAAGAGAAGTTGAATCTTGGAGTCAAGCCAGGAACCCAGTTGTCAAGGGGAAAAAAAAGGACAAGAATGATATAATCTAATTCACAAATCTAAAGTTCTTTTGTTTTGGTTAAATTTCAGGAAATTAGTTCTTTACTAATTTTGGAGATGGATTCTGGACAGTGCTCCATTGACAATGAACTGCAGAAAGACTTATGAGATAGGAAGGAACATAAAATTGCTGGACATTATTGTCAAGGGCTTCTAGCTTCCCCTCCCTATGTTGCAAAAATAGTTCATATTTTAGGAATACCTCCATTGTTATTTTCATAATTCCATAAAATAATGCAATGATTTAAAAGTTAAAATTGGAATATCTTATCAATCATGCCAACAAAGAACTATTGTATCTGAATAGACCTATCAGTGTGTTCTTTTCTATTTCCTTTCTTTTTCCTAAAGATGCTTTTTCAAAAGGCTACTGGGTTTTGTTTTTCCTTGAAGACATTTATTTTTCTCATCCAAGAAGCTTCTTCAGTTCTGACTGAAGAAATTGTCTTTTGTCTTCAAGGAAAAACAAAGTCCAGTTTCCTTTTGAAAAAGTGTATTTGGGACAACCAAGCATATTTAGCTGAGTGGTGTCTTCATCATAGCCTGTTCAGTGATCTCATATGCCTGATGCGTGCTGCATACATGTGTGCCGGTTTAGAAAAAATTAGCTTCCATGTTACTTCTGGGGAGTAACACAGCTGAGACGGGGCACTCTGCTCTGCTGCGTGAATCCATTGAGAGGATATAGGTCAGTAGAGCACAGGGATGATTGTTGGAGAGAACCAGTTGGCTCAACAGCTGATCGTTGGAGCTAGAGGTTTGCCTGAACTGGTCCAAACCAGGAGAATCCCACCCCTGAGCATAGCACAAAACATTGATATCCCTGCCTCCAGTTTTAAAACCATGCTCGGTTTCTTCTAATCTAGCTTCCTTGATCAGCATACCAATTGATTACACTGAGGCACAAATGACCAGGCTCAAATTATTCTCCATTGACCAAGTATTTGAAAACTTTAATTCTGGAAAAGGTGAAAGGAAAGAGAAGAAGAGGATGCTCAACAGAGTAGATGGATTCAATTACAGGAGTGTGTACCACTGAAAGACCTGTAAGACCAAGCTGGTTGCAAATATTATAAAACTCTTGTTGCTGTTGATTTTTTTTTCTGAATTTGTTTTAAAGTTGGTTGATATATCATTTGAACTGGTATATTCAGCATTCAGAAAAGTGGGGGGGGGGGTGAACAAGACAAGTAAATAGAAATATGCAGTTTCTGGAAAGTTGTATTCATTGAACTGAAGGAACTCTTCAACTTTGCTTTTGAATACAGACACAGACACACAGATACACACACACACACACACACATACATACACACAATTTTCAGTCCCTTTCCTTATGATCCCAAGCCTGAAACTCACTTGTACATTTCTGATTGCTGCCCTTGTCTACTGTTCACTGTTGTACTTGATATTTGTATCCATCAGAGACCCAACAATCTCTAATGAAAACATTAAATCTTAGTTTCAAGATGAACTTCAATAGATGATACTATATGTGGCCCAAAATTGAACTATGGAGTCCTCAATGCCGTTTGAGCTTGATTATTGTGTTGGAAATATTTTTGGTCAGATGCTAACATGTCTGCAAGTATACGCCCAAGCTCAAAACTTAGTTACTTTTTTTGCACATGATTGTGTAGTTCTCTAGGAAACCACACAGAGATACTGTATTATGCTACTATCTTCATCCAGATGTTGCCTGATTTCTCATTCAGGTGTGATCTTGCTTAGCTTTTGAAGGGCAGGTAAGAGCTGCCATCTGTTCGAGATAAAGGCTGCCTTGTAAAGCTTGACTTCAAGGACACCTTCATGTAGGTTTCTTAGCAATGTTATTGAAATGGTTTGTCCTTGCATTATTCTTCCAAGTTGGTTGGATGGATGGATGGATGGATGGATGGATGGATGGATGGATGGATGGGGTGGGTGGGTGGATGGATGGATGGATGGGTGGGTGGGTGGATGGATGGATGGATGGATTGATGGATGGATGGATGGGTGGGTGGGTGGGTAGGCAGGCAGATATTTTAATTTACAGATCTGTTGAATTAGAATGCAATTAATCTACCAGAATAAAACAATGGGTGGGGGAGAAGCTTAAGCATTAATGGAAGAGAGAAATCCAGGAAAGAGAAGAGAAGAGGTGTCATCTCTACACAGATAGGAATATAGGATCATGTGGGTGTCAAAAACCCCATGATTTTCATTAAACAGTTGCAGGAAATTATAATTTGATCCCTCCATGTGTTCTTTTAACATGTGGATACAATGGGAAAGAAAGATAGATTCCATATGAGATATATGAAATTAACCATAGGCTTAGCATGCAAAACCATTCTTAAATAAAAGATGATGTGAAGCAGAAGAAAGAGATATACATGAGGTTAAAACAAAGTGTCTTACCAAAGCACTGATGATGTTATGTAGTTTGGTAATGAAACAGTAACGACATTGGTAAACAGGCTGTTCTGAATCTTTCTGCATCTTATTTTCTTGTCAATGGGTGGCTCAAATCTCAAACATTTGTGAGATGTGGAAAGAAACTGCTCTGGCCATGTTACCCATGATTCATAGATGTCTATACGCCTTTACTTTGTTTCACTTTGTTCTGAATATCAAATACTGTAGCCATGTTTCTTGAGGAACTGTTCTAGTCTCATATTAATTTATTACTGGTCTTTTCTACCCTTACTTCAGATATACTTTTTAAAAAAATAAAGATGGTAGCTAGAACTTTACATACATTCCAAGAACTGTTTGCATTGATATAACTAGCTCATTATACTAGCATTTATGTTTCCCGACTTTCGTAAAATGAAATTTTGACATTTTTCAATAGCTGCTGCAAGCCAGGGTTGACATTTTCTTTAAATCTTAACTCTATGGCACCTTTTCACACAATGCCAGCTGTAGCAAGATACTGTACGTATAAGCGGTATCCCAAATATTTTCTCCTTGTGGTGATGGAGCTCACAATTACAGATAAAACTGTACCATCATCCTGCAGTACACCATGTTCAGCTTGGTTAAATGATACAGTAATGTCAGTAGAGATATGGCACCTGGAAATGGCATCGGGATGATGCCTTAATTCAGATTCTTGTTTGAGTCCAACGGTGTGTTATTTTGTAAAATAAGATGGCTAAGCATCTGTGGAGATTCTCAGTCATCCAGGTCACAGTTGTCTCAAATATGGACAGAAACTGGACTGTTTCTTTCTTTCTGTCAGGATTCCGGCAGTTACCTCAACTAAATCATGAGTCTCAAACCAAACTTCCAAAACTTCAAAAGGATTTATTGGGAGTTAACATATCCGGCACTGCCTGGGTGTAGCTGACTCTGAGACATATAATTCATTGTCACCCTTGACCCTGGTTTTCCCCACCCCCTGGGTATATCATAATTCATATTCTCCAATGGGACACATCCATAGCCAAGAGTCATCAATCATGCTCTCCAGTTAGCATTGTGCACAGCAGAAACTTCAGTCATCTAGTTACTATCTTTGAAAACTATTTATGGAATGCACTTTTGATTTCCAAGCTGCCGCACTGCTCTTTCAAACCCCCTTCCCTTTCTGTTGGCAACTTAAAAAAGACCATAGAAATATTTTATGAGTTGACACTTTCCCTTGAGGAAGAAGATGTTTTGCTTCTCATCCAAGAAGCGTCATCAGTTCTGGCTGATGAAGTTTCTTGAATGAGGAAGCAGACCATTCTTCCTCGAGGAAAAAAATAGTCCAGTTGCCAATTGAAAAAACACCTTTGAGATGAGATGGTTGTCAATCAGGAAATAAAGTCTCCTTTATTTATAAAGTCTCCCATTATTCCTCGGAGAAAAAAAAGAAATAAATCGTGGTTTCTACCTCAGAAGTTTCTATTGAAGTTAAAAAAAGTGGGGGGTCAGATATTTCATGCGACCCTTGAGATCAATTATTAGACCTGTCTTAAACTCTATGCTAAGCCACATATGTCAACGGCAGGAGAATTTGGAAATAAGGACATGTTTTACACTCAACCCATCCACGGTTTGGTCTAGTTAACAGGAGTTTAAGAAGCAAAGAACAATTGGGTTTAAAACTTTAAAGTATAGGCAAAACTAGTTTAGATGATCCAATGAGCTTATTCTGCATATCTGATCTTAGCCAAAAGGTCAAGAAACTATAGATGAGTGAGAATAACAGAGTTGGAAGGGACTTTGGAGGTCTTCTAGTCCAACACCCTGCTCAGGCAGGAAACCCTATACCATTTCAAACAATTATTTGATAAGTTAGAACTAATGTAGAAACGTTCATCCTTGCAAAACCCACAACACTATGTGATCTCAAAAGAAGTCATTTTGATATTGAACTATGACCGAATCATTACTATGCTCAGGAAATGTTATACAAAGTTGGGAGGCTAAATTGGACCCACCTGCCCTGCCCTACCTTGGAATGAGCTTTTGAGTGGCCCACTTCCTACAACCCAGCAAGCAATTTAATGGGAATATAGCTGGAAGGGAGAATGGAATGGAATGGAATGGAATGGAATGGAATGGAATGGAATGGAATGGAATGGAATAGAATAGAATAGAATAGAATAGAATAGAATAGAATAGAATAGAATAGAATAGAATAGAATAGA